AGTCAGTTGGGCATTGTCTGTGCGAAAAAGAGCGCCATGACACCAGCAATTTGGAAACGGCATGCTGTACTGCTTGGCATTCGTGCCGGAAGCTCCAATACGAACATTTCAGGGTTTTGGGTGTCAATCTGAGGAAAGTGCAGAGGATTCACAAAGGGTTGAATGAGTCTAATGATGATTACGAATGTACGGAGCTCGGAAAACTCACCTGATAAGAAAAGTAGTTCCGAATTTGTTGGTGCGGGATTCAGATTCAACATGGGGGCCTACATCAAGTGCCTTGAAGAGGTAGTGGTGATCTGGCTCAAGAAGATAGTTGCTAGAAGACCCTCTATCTAGCAACAGGACTCTGCACCATACCACACAAGTGGAAAACCCAACCATGGCTGTCAGACAATTTCTGCGACCACATCACCCCTTACATCTCGCTATTTAACTCCTCAATCTTGCAACCCCCTTGATTATTATGTGTGACGCGCAGTTGCGCAAGAGACTAACAAATCTCCTTTTAATATTAAAGATGTTCGGAAGGTAAGGATTATGGCAGCATTTATCAATTTAAACAAGGATACCGCCCAGAAGAGATGCAAGATATTCAGAAGTCGTCTGGGGGCTGTGGTTGAAGCCAATAGCAATTTTATTAAATAAATTTACTCTTTAATATTGCAAGATGTTTTTCTGTAATTTTGGTGAATATATCTGTTAAAATGAGATGTCAGTGTTATTTTCATTTTTGCGTAAATAGACGGCAATTTATCCATTGCACCTTGTCCATTGACCAGGGTGTGAATGTTCGTTTGGTGAGAATGATGTTTCTCAGCTTTGTTCTAACTTTGGAGAACGCAGACAAGTATACACTTTCTTTTGATCAAACACACTTTTACAACTTTTTGATATTCAAGTAAGCTGACGTTCTACGATGTAGTACCGTATATACCAGCATATAAATCGATATTTTATGCATAAAACTCTTTCTTAATGGATCATATTAAACCATTTAGATCCTCTGAATTTGACAGCCTGATTTAAGGTTCGGCTTTTATTTTGCGAGGCTGAAGGATCCAGCGAATGGCGGCCTGAACCTGAATTAACACCCCCACAGTTTAGATGTCGATTTGTATGGCAACAAATATGCTATTTGCATTATTTCCACATATTCTTTCGCTAATAACTTCATCTTTTTATTACTTTTAATTGCAAAGTTTTATTTGGTTTATTCTCCGACTTTCAAATAAAAAAGGTGGACAGAGCGTTTTCCAGAGTTTTATTATTATTATTAATATTATTATTAAAGTAACAGGTTTTTATTGTATATCCTCTTTCTAAAAAAAAAGATTGCATTTATAGATTTTGGATACGACTGGAATTCTTAATAAAAGCGTTGCATTCACTAACACTATGTATTTACTCTGCCTCCCTATTAAGACGAGTTTGACACAAGGTCTTTTTTAAGGTGGGAAGCCGAGCTTGTACACCCGGCACTAACACTTGTTCTTGTGTAAAAAACTTCTCAACATACCGAGGAGAAAGAACACTTCTACATATACACCTTTATTCATCCCTTTTGTATTACTGCAATTCAGTTTGCTCAGGCATATTTTGTTATTAAATGCACCTAAATGCTTGTATCTTCATTCTTATTTTCGCCTGAAAAAATCCAGTATGTCCATAAAACTATTATATCAATCAATCTTCAACAAACATCTCACCATCTTGTCGCTATCAATGTTTTCTGAAGAGAAACTAAACAGAAATAAAAAAAAAATAGACTAAGTATTGACTAAGTGTTTGGCGAGGCTGCATTGGCGTGGCCCAAGAGGTGCTGCTACCAGTTAGTTGTACGATTATAACAAACGTCCACTGCTTGCAGTAATAGGAGTAAATAGGTTTGTCTATTGATCGGTTCATATTCCTCCCCGGTCGGTTGAGCGAGAGTAGATGTTTAAGACTGGTTTCCTGTTTAGGATTGAGTTTCGGTTCATTCTAAAGTCTTATTCTCTTTCGCTCCCAGTAGCCGCTTGCATCTTAGTGGCTTTATAATCTTCCTTGGGGTGAACTGATTAAAAACGTTAGATTGTTTAAAGATTGTTTTGTCACAGCTGGAATACGAGGGTTGGTCAGCTTCAGCCCAAATGTGACAACAATACAATTTTCCGTTTTATTCGACTCGTAAAAATAGACATGGCGGGAAGAATCGGATGCTTTCTGAGGCAGGGCGAGGAACCGACTATTTATCTCGTTTCTGAGTTCCGTTTGAGTTCTGGGCGTGAACTTGAGTTCCAACAGATGCCCAGGGCAAGGAGGCTCATTGAGAGCGCAAGCACCCACCATTGGAGAAATTCGGGATTTGTTAAAACCTCAACTTAAAAATATTTCTACTCTACTTTATTCTTTAGAACTGTTACATCTGAGTAGCACATATTCCTGAGTTAGCAGAACCATCAAAAGGGGTAGGAAGTAGATTTTCTACATTCCATCATTCCAAATTAAAAGACAGACATTATAAATCTTGTAACTTTCTTGAAGGATTTTATTGATAATGATTGAACTGAAATCAATGACATCTCGGTTTCATCATTTTACGTTACAAATTGCCAAATGTAACCGTCAATTCCATTCTTAGAGTTTCTTATCACGCATTTCTCTGCTATGGAACTCTCTTCCAATTTGTAGCGGACCATGGGTTTACGTGTTGTTAAATAAAACACGTGTGAAGCTCCTGATAGAATAAAGTCCACTACAAGAATATAAATAAGAACCGATATATTTGAACAAACAATATATATATATATATATATATATATATATATATATATTAAACAACAAAAGAATTTACACTGAGAAATACATTAAAGTGTGTGTGTAGAAATTTATTGTTTCAATGAATGTTCGAACGTACGTGTGTGTGTGTGTGTGTGTGTGTGCGTGTGTGTGTATTTGTTTCATGGCATTCCTCTCAAAAGGGCAAAACGTAAATCTCCGCGAGATCATATTTTCAATTATGTTCGCTGAAATGCAAAGTGAAAAAAGAGGATGATGCAAGTTCTCGTCGGGAGAGCGCCCCCTTTGAACAATTAAGAAATTAAGGAGGAGTTAACTCCGGCAAACTTCTTGCTTTCCTGTCAAATACAATCTACAGAAATTTAAATGCGATATTAATCGTTATTTTTTATCTCCATGAATACAGGTCCATTTTATTGTCCTTTGTTATCAATATTGTTTTCTCAGTCTCGTTCACTCTGTTATCTTTAATCCTATGTAATTCCTTGTGTCTTAGTAACTTTATCGCCTTGCTTTGGAGGGGGGAGTGAAATAATGAAGGAAATAAATGTTTAAGATTATATTTTGACAATTTTTAGAAAATATTTTTCCTGGCTTTAATTTTGTGCATCACTTCTGGAGTGAACTAATGTCTGCGTTTATTGCCTTTAGAGATTATGAAGAATAAAATGACTCCATAGCAACGACGTCAGGTTATAGGCCCGACCTGTAGATCAAATAAGAATATGCGTTTCATTTTATATCTGCTCAACTGTGCCAAATTTCGAACACATGCATAATTTTATATATAGAAATATCTTACGGTTTTGTGTGTCTATACATTGAGATGCTTTACATGCGAATATATCATGTGCGTATGAGAAGATATATTTGTGTGTGTGTGTGTGTGTGTATATATATATATATATATATATAGAGAGAGAGAGAGAGAGAGATGTGGTTGGGGCTGTGCTAATATGAAAGTGCGTATAAATAAACATGCGATCTGTTAGTAACAATATTGATACCATTGCAAGCAACCCAGCACTGCAGGAGTCCTGTGGTGTAATAAGCCTTCACCTATAGCCTTTATTCTTTTATAAACACTTGACTAACAACTAATAAAACGCAGAGAAATGCAAGAAAAACAAAACTGAAACCATTCCGAATAGAAGGTGGAATGGAATCTCAAGAGACAGCTCGGCACCGAAGTTGACAAATAAATAGAATGACACCGCAAATGTGACACGTAAGGATAGAAGCCACAGGCTCTTAAAATCAAGTTTGTATCTCCCAGGTGCCCATCTTATTATCATAAAACGAAGATGAGAATCAAGATTAGTCTGGTAACAAGACAGAGGCCGCATTCCTAGCGAGTCAATAGCAGCTTGGTTTCGAAAGGAAGCCTAAAATGGAACAAGATCTAATGAACTAGCTCTTATTTTTACGATTTTGTCTTTAGGGATTGATGCATTCTTGCAACACAACGCAGGTCTTTGTATTAGGAATAGTTACTGCCTCTGATTTAGAAAATCAATTGTCTTTTCATTTTATTTTTATAGCCAGAAGGGTGGTGCTTAGCTTTCAAGGTTTTAATTATCACATTGGCCAGTCTCTTGAAATGTCGAAACTTTCACAAATACGAAGTAAAATTCAGAATACAGAACAAAATTAAATTTTCTTTTAGTGAATACGTATGAGTTAACTCGAGTTCTGAATAAAAGTTAATTATTTTATTAGATGAATTATTGTCAACCACTACGATATTTTGATCTTTTCCTCTTAGATTGTGTTGGTTTTCATTGGAACTTACTCACATCGTCCTGTCAGTGTTGCTTACGTAAGTGACATTCTGAGTCAGTTGCAATAAAAATAAAATTAAGATGAACGAAACATCTAGTTGTATTTGTTGTATTAAATGCGAGATTAACTTGAACCTTTTAACTAGAAGATCTAAATGATTTGATAGATTTGTTTTTTTATGGCTTATCCAACTTTTTCAGGTTATTTAAAGCCAGAAAATATTTTTATGTTGTAAGCATCTTGGTAGTGGGGAGATAATGAGTTACTGATACAAGTTCTACTAATTAACCCATAACTGGAGGAGAAGAGGTGGATTGATACCTTTCCCAAGGCTATTTGCGCGTAAGTGGATATAACGAATATGACTGGGATTGAAACTGTTTTTCGAGTTCCAATTTCGAACAGTTATCCATTAAACTACCCGCACATTCAAACTTACTATACCTGGTATCCCCAAGCGGTCATTCATCTAGGTACTGACCAGGCTCGACATTGCTTAACTTCAGTAATCGAACGAGAATCTGTGCTTTAACGTGATATGATAGTAGGCAGCAGTTCTAAAATCATTCAGAAGAACGGAAGATAACATTTTGTGGGCGAATTCCGACGTCTCACTTTTCGATGGTCATACTTTTTTCTTGTTTTTAATTTAATTTCCGAAAAATTCCTTAGGGTTGGGGAAAATCTCGAGTCACCAAATGAAGAACTTTCATTTATGGGTGACTTTGAAGCGTCAGTCGAATCAGTGAAGATGTACAAACTGAAATAACGGGGATAACCATATGCAACCTAACCCTGAAAAAGATATGCATGTCACAAGAGCGTGAGGAAATGTTAGCTACTTGACCACAAAGGGATTTAAAAAAAACTGTTTGATTATTTGATCATATTTTAGGAAGTGGGTTATAAGCGAAGGTTTAAATAATCTGTGGTAGCACCGCGTTTTATAAATCTTTTAAAAATAGATATTTTTAAACGAATATATATATATATATATATATATATATATATATATATATATATATATATATATGTGTGTGTGTATGCCGAAAAATATGCGAGGAAGATCAAGGATAAGAATAAAAATTATTCACCGTAAAACGGTGCATCGAAAAATATAACAAAATATTTATAACAAAAAGGTGTAACCGGTTATTGTCCCTCACACTTCAGAGCCAATCAAGGATAAACAATACGTGCTACATGACTAAAAATACGGATAGAAAAAAATTACTATCAGAGAAAGACCATCATAAATCACAGACATATTACATATACACCCTGTAGCTATTCCTTCTGCTTACAGAGGGAAAGCTACTTAGACTTAATATGAATGCTTTCAAAAAGTCTCATATAGCAATCTGAATGTGAGAATTGTAGATTCGAAATAATGCATTAGAGATATCTTCTCTAATCAAAATTTTACGAAGTTTTCTATTTTTTTCTCATCTGGAGAGTAAGGAAATTTTCGTTAGAAAAAGAAAAGTGCTGAAAAAGCCTTCTTTAGCTTTCAGGATGAATCTTCAGATTTTCATGACACAAATTCCGACGTCTGTTATTACACTAACCAGATAAATTTCTGTGCGTGCTTCATTTTAATCTCTATTTTAGCTTCCTCTTTTAATAACAAATATACATTGTATTCGTGTAATTAATAGTTAGACATTCTTTTAACATTCATTTGTTTTACTTTAAGAGTTCCTTAAGTCTTCTTTCTGTGTCCTCCATCATAGTTTCATTTGCGTATCTTATGTTAATGTTATAACCGTCGATAATAATTTCTGATAGGTCTTCTAGTTTTCTTAAGATCGTCTCACTGTTTAAGTTAAATACATCCTGAGACTGTACATAATTATGTATGACAGTGATATGTACAGCTTAATGTTGATCGGAATCTGTATCATAATTTTCTTCATTTTCTTTTTGAATGAACCAACTAAGAAATCTAAAGATGGAATGATTACTTCTTACCGGTGAATAGTATTTATAGCCTTAAGAACACAGGAAACTATTAACTGTCTCCTTTTTGGAAAAGTCCGCAACAAGTAAAGAAAATTACTGATAGCGGAGCACTTAAAAACTGTCACTGCTTATTTTGCTGATATACAAATTGATAAATTTAATACCATTTCTAACAGATTCCTGGGCTTACTGATATTGACTGTAACTTAAATTTCACAGTCGTTCCTACGTGTGTCAGTTCATTACTTATCCATTATAGAAGGAGAATATCATTCTTTCTGACCAATTGATTTACATCCAAAACAATTTTAGAAGGATAATCTAGGTTGGCTGTCTGTTTAGCTTTTTACAATGCAAGACCAAATGAAGAGAGGAGTAAGACAAAAACTGCATTTGGTCAATTGGCCAAACAGAAAAGACCTGTCACCCATGAAAAATCATCATTCGATGCTTGAAATTTATTTTACTGGAATCGGAACGAAATACGTAGTTATTCCGACCACAAGACAGATACGAGCGATACAGGTTATAAAACAGAACACTGATCTTTTTTTTCTGGACAGTTATCACCAAATAACAGGAACCACAGAAGAAATTTTCTCGTTAAAAGATCGACTCAATCCGAAATCATAAAACGCAGACAATAGTCTGGATTCATATAATCAATAATAAACAAAGAAAAAAACAAAACAAAAAAACAAAAGCAAAATAACTTAATCCTCATAGAGGACAAAATCTAAACCATATATCTTCAATAATAAAAACAACAATAATCATATATATATATATATATATATATTTCTTCGCACACATCCACAACAAATATGAATGTGTATATTTGCACACAAACACTTGTGTAAGTTTATATCTGGAAGACAAAGATATAGATAGATAGTTATAGCTTTCGTGCAAAAGACATGAAACGATTTGAACGGTGATCTGATTTGTGGCCTGCAGCCTGTTGCTTTAGCCAAACGAAAACCTCTCGGCTATATTTGTTAAGACGAAGTAGAGTCAGAAATCTTCGTCTAAATCTTAACTTCGTGATTTGGATAATGTTTCACGGAGATTTTATGAACAGAAAAGCGTTGAATACAAATGGAAAAATAAAAATAAAAAAAAGAACGAAAGCAATGGATAGAATACCAAGAATATCGAAGGAAACAAAATATATCATTGTACTCATGTGCATCCGTATTTATTCGCGTGAGTGTATGCGGAAGAGAAAGACAAAAGCGTAAAAAGGGTGCTTAGGGGCGGTCTAGCAATGAATTATAACGAATATGACAGACAATCTATGGAGCTCTGGATAGGCAGAGTGTGAGCCGATAGATTTAAAGAAATCAAAACACAAAAAAGGCGCATACTTTCTCACTGCAAATTGAACAATACATTAATTTATGAGGTGAATGTGTGCGTTTCTGAATATTTTGCCAATCTTTATATTTTGTTATTTGAGGAATAGCGATTAGCGGATACATAGCATTTTAGACAGTGAGTTTTTCATAAATATTCAAGGTTTATCAGATTTCTCACGTAAATAGCTAAGCATTTAAAGAGGAGGAATATAATTTGACTATTCTTTGAAACTACTGTTTCTTTTTAGGTATAAGACTTATAGATAAAGCGCTTTACTAACCAGGGACTTGAAGAAAAAAATTCCAGTCCGTTTGACTTGAAAAGTATACAAGAATACAAGCATATTGCCTAAATTAGACATCTCCACATGTAAACACATGGGAAGCTGTAAGATTCTCAGCTCGACCAAGAAGCGATTTAAAAATACAAAATAAAAAATAAATTTGAGTTTTTAGCCTACACACGGATTATTTTCATTTTTTTTTTCTTATAACGTTTCGGCCTGTTTTAAATGTCTGCGAATCCGGATAAGTTCCGGTGAATTTTGAAGTGAATACTTTATTTACTTTCCATAAATAGATTATTTTCGTTCTATTGTTCATATCTAAGGATATCTCGTCTTGTTCTTGTTTATTACTAATCAGTTATTGCTCACTTTGTTTCCACTGAATCTAAGTCTTCACTACCCGAACCAAGGACTAAACTCTCAAGTTCCCAAATAATTGTTCAGGTGTACATGAAGAAAGCCGGAGAGTACAGGGGCCAAACCGTTGTGATAAACAACAACAAACGCGAGAACAATAGTTCGAATGTAAATAGTCTAGTACGGAGTCTAATTATTTTAAACCATTTTAAAGGTAATGAAAGCTATTAGGGAGCAAGGGTGTTGCAGAGCGTTAAAGAAACAGTGATGAAAATAAAAGGGCATAATTCAAGATGATAGATAATGATGATGATGATTGACATTTTATTTAACTTATTGAACGTCGTAGATGGCAGGAAAACAGAGGAAGAGATCCACAAGTGAGAAGTGCGAGAGAAGAACCTATTCGAATAGAATATATATATATATATATATATATATATATATATATATATATATTATTATAATTAATATTTCGAATAAGATATATATATATATATATATATTATTGTAATTAATATTTCGAATTAGATATATATATATATATATATATATATATTATTATTTGTAATTATATATATATTTATAATTAGATATATATATATATATATATATATACATTATTGTAATTAATATTTCGAATTAGATATATATATATATATATATATATATATTATTGTAATTAATATTTATAATATATATATATATATATATATATATATATATATATATATATACACACTTATGTATAAAAAAAGAGAAAAAACTTCCCGACAGTTTTGCAGATGGTACAGTGGTCGACTTATACATAAGAGAACACGCACCAACATATATAAAGCCTTATACTATAATAATTGTGATGAAAAAAACAAAAAAAATGTAAAGAGGAGCAACAGCATTGTGTCAATTTGAAATCAGTATGCGAAGCCATCGTTTTTACCAGTTGTTGGTGCCGGTGAGAAAGCACCTCTGCCACCAAACGTGCCCAGTATCTATCTATCTATATCTATCTATCTATCTATCTATCTATATATATATATATATATATATATATACATACACATGTCATAAAATATATGGACTCATAGGATTATAGATATTTTATACGCATAATATACTTTTTTATAAATATAAATGTATTTTTTCGCTCATCAACACTATTATGGACTCTTAAAAATCTGTGAAAGGAATAATGTGATATATTTTGCTTGCATCTCCATATGCATATATGAGAGAAAAGAGAACTTAAAAAAAAAAAAAAAAAAAAAAAAAAAGAAAAAGAAAAAAACACCGGAGCTTTAATCAATAAATCAAAGAGAGATTGAAAGAGAAGTTGCAGCTGAATGTTTGCAGTGAGATCGGAAACAGGGTTTAATATCAAGGAAGAACGTAATATGGCAAGGAAGAAGGTATTGTTTATGATTGGCGGACGTCAGAAAGCTGAAGATACGGAGGTAAAGGATGAGGAGGCGTTATACTCGGCGCCATTGTTACCATAGCTCGTGTCCTATTCTATTCAATACTCGAAACATTCCGGATCAAAAACAGACACACGTACATAAAACGAAAGGAAAGTAA